ATTTCGGGACAGGTACCACTACCGAGTAGCTTTTTATTCTTTTAAAAAATATTTGAATATTAAATTTTTTAAAAATAAAAACTCATTACATGTAGCATTTAAAAAGAATTGCAAATAATAAATATTGCCTTTTAATTAAAATTCATTACTCACTAATTAACTTTGATTAATAATAATCAATGTTTTTACTTTCTGTGATAATCATTAATTCATTGATAATAATTTATCACCTATAGCCTACGTATTAAATAATTGCAACTATAATAATCATTGATATACAAGTTTTAATTTTTGTATATTTAGTTGTCATCTTTGTGATATATAAGTTATGTTAGATTTGTAACTCCTAAAATTTAATACTTATCTCTAAAGTGACAATTTAGTTCTTGTACTTTTAAATTTGTAATAATTTAATCTTTGAATTTTCAAATGTACCAATTTAGCACTTTAAAATTTGCAACAATTTAGCTCATGCCAATAAAAATGTTGAGTAAAGAAATTTTTTATATATGTATATCGATATAAAGTGATGATGGACCATAGTATTTATAAACTACAAAGTTTGGCCAACGTAAACATAGTTTAACGATAATTGACATATATCTCCAACTAAGAAGATATAAGTTCAATCTCCCACCCTCACATATTGTACTAAAAATTAAGTAAATAAACTACAAAGCCTGAATTATTACATGTATAAAAATCAACACTAAATTTTGATGAGATTTTCATCATTGAGATTAAATTGTTACAAAATTTGAATGGTTTCATTATTATAAACTAAAATGGGGAAACTAAATCATTACTTCCAACGAGTATAGAAACCAAAAGTGTCTTTTACCTACTTTATATCATTTAGACAGCATGCGTGCCAAGTTTAGGGTGGGAATGGGCACGGCTCAGCCCACACGCATCATAAGTCACTTATAAAGAAATAATACTTCCTCGATACATGAAATTTCTTCTTACCCACCACTAAATATTTGACAGTAATTTATTCTCCTTTTTTTCAGAAAAAGAAAAGACCTTTTCTCTTCCTATTTTCATTCCTCTCCAACTTGTCAAACACTGTATAGAGGACGAATATTTCTACAGTAGGGAACTACTTTCGAAATATAAATACGAGAAACTAGAAAACTTGTATTGAGAAATAGGCGGCATCGAGAGAAAACGATCATAATTATAAGAGACATTTAGAAGTTGCAAGCATTTGAGTAATCAATGTTTTACAGATACAAAACACAGAGCTACCTCAGCTTGGGCATGGAGCTCTTCCAATATCTTTACAATCTTCTCACGGCATATGCTTGTTTCATTTTGCTCCTTTAGCATTCTCCTCAATCTACATCCATATACAACGTGTGGTAATGTTCCAAACCAACAAAAAGAACAAGTAATAATAAAGACTGCCAATAAAGTCTATGAATAGTGCAGAAATTTTGGTGAGAATAGAAATGGTTGGAAAATAGTTTCGAATCCTATGGTAGTCGTCTATCTAGGTTATTACATCCTACAAAAGTTTTAACAACCAAATACTAAAACATCATATGGATTATCCCAAAATATTAGTCGATGTGTGTGTGGTAAGTGAGTCCAAACACTCACAACCACAGAGGAAAAAGAAAAAGGTATTCATACCTAGTAAGAACATCTTAACTATACCTTTAATTTTACCCCCACTCCCACACGAAAAGGTAAGACTAAATATTATCAAATGGTGTTTAATATTTTACAAGTCTCAAATTTACCCGTATGGAAATTCACAATTAGCTCCTTTTAGGGGAAAAAAATCAACTAAAAAACTTGTCACTAAATTATTGGTTTTTCTAACATATTTACGTGCACTCGGAATAAATAGATTTTGTTGAAACCCAGGTCAGATTTTTCTAATGGGCAAGCTAGATTTCATGTGTTAGGTAGCATCCAAATGACATGTCCAAATATGTTGAAAGAATAATCACACCAACTTTTTGTTAACAAGTTTTTTATGTAATGACCTAATTAAGAATCCTCCAATTAACTCTCTGCTGTAGAAGTATTTCTTTTATATTGTGTCCCACTCTCAGGCCAACTTGTGCATACCTCAACTAATCACGGACAACCGCCTGACCCAACTATATTTGGTTGTTAAGAAAACTCGTAGGATATTAAATTCCTAGATAAGTGGCAACCATAGTCTGAACTCATTCCATTTAAGACCTTTACTATTTACATTGGCCCTTATTGACCACTAGCCCAACTCATGATAGTTCTCTATTATAGAAGTATTAACGCGACAGAAAGACTTCAAAGGTTGGAAGATACCCCCAAGTGGGCTCTCCCTCTCGGTTTGTAGCCTTTGTTTAAAGGTTGAGACCCAGATCACATATTCTTGCACTGCCCTTTTGCTAGTCAGACCTAGGGTTATGGTGTAAAGGAAGGCTAATAATATAACATAAAGGAAGGTCATAACAGAAAAGCCAATCCTATTAGCCAGACTAAGGAGTTTTTCTTCATCGCAATTTGGAGCCATAAGGTACATTTAGCTCATCTAACAAGTTTTTTCCTTATGATAGTATTTCCCACATGAACACTTCCGAGGCACCAGGCAGAAAGTGCTTGCCCTGTAACCTTTCATGATATGATTGAATAATTGCTAGATTCTATGTCACATTATGTCACTTGTTCTATCGAATGGAAACTTCAATGTTTGTAAGCAGTTCAAATTTACCATGATAAATGCAAAGAACAGATTTTAGGTTGCATCATGCACATACCTCTGTACAAGTGCTATGTCACCATGACCAGTGCAAATAATAAGCATTGCATTAGTAGGTAATGAGCTGTAGAGGTTTTTGATTCTGGAATCCATGCGAGTCAGAATTTCCCGAAGTTCAGGAGAGATCTTGCGGCTGTGCTTTTTTCGGTTGACAGATTTCGTATCACATGTAAGTAAAGACATCATCTCAGCAAGTTTGACATTCAATCTTTCTTCATCATCTGCTTGTTTCTTATAGTAAGAATTCAGTTCCGAAAATTGTGTCCAGATGAAGTGCACTTTTTCATTTATTACCTAGAACAATAACAGGCACAAAAAATACTATCAGATATCAGTCAGCTATAAAAAGAAATTTCTGAAAGGTACAATCAGCAGCCAATCAACCTCCTTTTTTGCCCTTGAAAGAGCTTCCTCATCAGAAGTTACAGGAAATGCATGTGATGATTCAGAGGAATATCGCTTCACTGTTGAAACATCATCAATGAAAGAAGACGTCTTTCCACTCTCACCAAGTATAGTTAGTAGTTTTTTCCGGATTAATGATGGAGGCGAACCAAACTCCGGTCCTGATTGAAAACAAGAGAAAAGGCATCCAATAATAACTCTGCAGAAATTAAACTTGACAATTTATAACACAACATAAGGTAATCTTTAAGCCAAACTCTACAATGCAAAAGATATATGCAACTGATCAAGACTGCGCTGGAGTAATTTTCCCACTATCAATCCCAAAGGAATGATAACAACAACAGTTATAACATAAGAATATAATAAGAGTTTTGAGTGTAAAACAGCTTTAATTTTAAAAGGTCCAGCTTTCACTATATAAAGCCTTCATACTAATGCAATGCTTGAAGGAGCTTTCTGTTCTGGTGATTCTCATCCAAGGGGCTTTTATAGCCACTGTATTTAAACTCTTGGCTAGTCACTCATACCAACTTTATCGCATTTTCTCAAATTATATGTCACAAGAGAGGCAAGCTCATTTGAGAATACGCCAAAGCCAATTGGTAAGAAGGGTTCCATTTATTTCTCATTTTCCCAACATCGAGGCCAACAAGCACCAAAGGAAGAGAAACAAAATTCCCTTGTATCAGAGGACACTCTCCGTCCAAATTAGGCGCCTTGTAAAAAGACTTTTCTGATACACTTGTAAGTTTTATACAGAATAGTCTTTGGGGCTTGGAAAGCCGAGAGAAAGTAAGAAGGTTGGCAAGGACAATCGAAGTAAGGCAACCCCTTTTGTTCAACTTTCTCCACCAAAGGATTCCAGAAGACCACTGACCAAGGACTTGGGTTTATTGCCGAGGGGCATGCCCAAATAAGTAAGAGGAAAGGAGCCCTTCAAGCAGCCCCAAGTTTTAACAGCTTTGCCAAGATCCAATTCACCAATGTTGATGCAAATCACTGAAAATGTAGTTAAACTGATTTTCCAACCAAATGCCAACTCAAAAGTTTTAACCATGTCAAATAGATTAACTATTTTTCCGTCTTCCATGATTCAAAAGAGTGTGTTCAACAAATTGCAAGTGGCAGATGACTCTTTTTCTTCTACAAGGGAGCCTTCAATAATCTCAATCTCAACTCCCTTTCAAAGAAGTCTACTCAAACAGACTGACAAGGAGGAAATGAAAAATGGAGAAGGGGTCCCTAGTCTAAGGTCCCAGTGTTTGTATTTTGCTTCTAGACTACCCAATGATAAGAACAAAATAGGAAGGAAATACTTGAAATACACTCGTTTATAAGAAGCAGCTCTCATTAATAATGAGATAATACCAAAGGAAGGACAAGAGATCCTACATGCTTAGGAGCTTAAACAAAAGCACTCCAATTGGCACAAATAACAAAAATAAAATGATTCCCAAGAAACTACAAAGAAATTCTTTTTAACTTGAAGGATCTTATGAAGGAAGTTTCCGTCCACCTTCTGATAGGTTTTTTCAGTTTTAAGTTTGAAGACAACACCTTTATTCTTTTTGCACCTCCATTCATGCACCACCTTGTTTGCCCCAGAATAGGATCTACAATTTGGTAACCCTCAATAAAAGCTCAATGAGAAGGCAAAATTGTGATGGGTGGCACCTCTATAGGTCTCCCAAAAAGAACTATAACCAAGATTTTACAAGCACAAATTTTTTTTTTCATAAGAAACGATACTTTCATTGAGAAGAATGAAAAGAGAAACAAAAGAAACCAAAGGGGCCTACAAAAAAACCAACCCCGAGAGGAGTCCCTTACAGAAACGGACTCCAATCCAAAAGAATGAGACCTAACAGATAATTACAAAAGGCCTTAGAAACAGAGCCCCATAAAGAAGTATTAAATCTAATGAGATCCCAAACATAATCCACAGATTTCTCCACCTCCCTAAACATCCTATTATTTCTCTCTAACCAAATCCTCCAAATAGCAGCCAGAAAACAGGTCTGCCACAAAAAACGACCCCTGTCATGAAAAGGGAGGTGTAACAACACCTCCTCCATCACCCCTCTGGAACGGACCTAAGACAAGCCAAAGCAATCAAAGAAACGGAGCCAAATATCCTGAGCGAACTGACAACTCCATAACAAGTGCTCCAAATCTTCAGAGGCATTCCTACAGAGAACGCACCACTGCGGGTCCAGACGAAAGGAAGACATCCTTTGGATATGATCTAAAGTACTGACTTTCCCAAGTAAAACTTACCCCCCGAAGAATTTAATCTTCTTCGGAATCTTAATCTTCCAAAGAGAGTTGAACCAACAGGTCAAAGGGGAAGAAGGAGAAGGGGAAATCAAAATATCGAAATAAGATTTACAAGAAAAACCTATCGAGAGGTTGGGGGACCACACCCTCACATCCTCCCTCCCAACAAATAAAGACACCTCAGACGACAACAACACCAACAACTTAGACACCTCTAAATGAGACCAGTAGAGCAGCAGTTAGAGACCTTAGAAACACTAGCCTTTTTAATAGAGTGTCAAGTTAAGCCTCACTTTTGGTATTCAAATGCAGAAAATAGCCCTCAGGCGATACAAAGCAGACCCACCTATTCGCAAGGGTGGGTATTCTCTCCTTACAACCTTTCAGCACTCACAACTAGGATGATTCCCTCCCTGCTTCCCCTTTCCTTTTCTACTACTTGTCGCCCTATTACAAGACCTGGGCCCCACTCCCAAACCGTTATCCCTTTATTCCCCTACATCATTCTATTGCACCTAGTACAATTACTTTTCTACCCTTCCTATGATAAGTCTTCACAATGGGTGGCCTAACATAGAGCTAAGATGATATCATTTACATTAGACTTTACAATTCCATTATGAAAGAAATCCTAGAAGAATTCAACAAGATCCTTCTTGAGAGTATCCTACCCCTTTTAGAAGAATGCTCAAATAATAAGTCAGACCCTCCAGAAATATGTTTAGGCACTATTGTTTTGATTTTACTGTGTACTTACAAATAGGTCCGGTTTTTTATGTTGACTTCAATACCGCTTGCATCCACATGCAGCAGCTAATGAATACATCAAACATGAAACTCGGAACACAACAAACGGTTGCAATCAGCTTTGCTTGCACCACTATAATTGAAATAAATGCCACTTTCATGTTCAGTTATTCTGAAGACCCTCCATAAAGTGTAACCAGTAATATTCCTAAGCAACTTCAGAGTTGAACAGTCAAACCATGTTCTCCATAAGTACAGTGCAGATAGAATGTCACTTGCCATGTTTAATTTTAAGAAGTGCAAGTTCCATAGTAGCTCTTGCATCTTCAGTACTATCATGGCCATTGCCAGATTGTTGTATCTCCCTGGAAAGAAATTTTTTAGCAAGAATCCGAAGGGCAGTTTTATGAGAGCCACCACGGGGATGCTTATATAGTACTGCAGTATCAACAACCAGATCATGAGACATCTTCAACGCCATCAGGTCATTCTCCAACGAATGACCAATTAAAATGGTCTCCTTGTGAACCAGATTCAAAAAATCTCTCTGCAAAGTACATTTACTACAAATGCATTAGGAGGTTCCAGATAACAATAATTGCAGCAAGTAGATAACATCAATGAGTGCAATGTCAAGGAGAGAACCTGAACATCTTCCAGAGTTGTGGTCACCCCACTTAACATCTCACTTGTAATTCCACTGAACCTGTTATGCCCCGAAAGACAAATGTTTAGAAGAGAATGAGGTTAGTTCCTTGTTTTTCATCAGTATATTGGACCTTGCGAGCATTACGAAGACAAGTGAATTAGAGAAAGTAGCCATACAGACATGTTTGGTGACATATTAACACCCAGATAAGCTAAGAACTTCAGAAAAGTTACTCTGGCCAAACAAGTTCACGCACAAACATGATGAAAATGAACCATTATTGTACACCCAAAAATCCTCTAACCTTTTGATGGTTAAAAGGTTTTAAAATATAAATTCTTATCTGACCCAACTATAATTGGTAATTACAAGACTTAATGATGTAAACTAGACTTGGAATCCTACAAAATTGCTCAAACAACTGGAAGAATGGCAGATGGTTGGATTCCAACACCTTGGCAGATCTTTACCCAAATCTCTATGTCCTATCTACTAATAAGGGCGCCAAAATAACTGACCTGTGGTCAAAATCCACCAAATCTTCAGATTACAGCTTCAGAAGGCCACTAAAAAAATGAAATCGAGGATTGGATGCTTATGTCTCAGACTCTCAATGCCCCTCCCAACAGCAGATAGATGGGTTTGGCCATTAGACCCAACAAAGGACTTCACCACCAAATTAGTCTTCAACAAGCTGACTATGAATGAATCCCAACAACAGAATTTGGAAGGAAAAGTTGCCAAAAAAAAATTAAGCTCCAGGTGCAAAAAAGACTTCCTCATATGGCCCTATCTCCTAGCTGCTGCCACCTCTGCTTTAGGGAGACAGAAACACAAGGCCCTATCTCCTAGCCACTGCCACCTGTGCTTTAAAGAGACAGAAACACAAGGCCATCTCTTTATTCCTATTTTCTCCTGAACACTCCATTGCCTGGACATCCTTTCAAGAAGGAAGCTGGAATTCTTTGGGTTAATCCGGTGAAGGCTTTGCTTTGGAGCATTTGGTTGGAAAGAAACGACAGAATCTTCAATGGCACCTCTCTCCCCTTCAATAGTTTTTATGATAAAGTTACTGCCTTAGCAGGTGTAAATACATCTATTTCCCTACTCTCAATGATCTCATCTCTAGCTGGAAGGTAATCTAGTCTATGGAGACTTTTGTATATTTCATATCATCAATGAGATTGTCTTACCAAAAAAAAATATTTATATCATTATTGTCGATTAAATACAGGAAGCCCAAATTTTCACATCATAAGAACTTCAAATTTTCTGTGTCCAGCCTATTGTATACTAAAAGCTGAAAGAAAATTTTACCTGGTATTGTAATCAACAATCGCATTGAATGGTTTTACCAATTTGTCAAGGACAATCTGAGAAAACCAGGAAAAAGTAATAAATAAAAATAATGGGACACGCAAAGTAGAACAGGGTGATTTAAAAACAAAATCAAATACTGCAAGTCACACCTTAAATAAAAGTTGATAATACATCATTAACCCAAAACTAATAATAGTTGATCTAAAACTTCAGTTAAACAAACTGGACCTGTATGCCACTAAGATACAGCGGCTTCATTTTATTAAATAGGAATTTTAACTTCAAAAAGCAGCATAAGCTGAGAGAGGATAAAGATATAGATAACTGAATTAACTTAGCAAAATGGTTACAAAAATTAACTGTTCAGTTCTTGATTATTTTTTTCAGATAAGAACTACCAAGTACTAGATTTAAAGTCTTCAAAGCATCAGTTAAGTTTTCCTAAAAAAGAGATCCAATGCTTTCACCAGGGCGCATAACTGAAGCAAGCAGATGTAAAGTGTATACCTCTCCTTGCATATCCACCAGGGTTATTCTTGTGAGCTCAAACCCTTCACAGGTCACACACTAATAAGAGTAAAAAAAATAATAATAATAATAACAGTGATGCGGGTCCTCAAATGACATTCTACCACGACATAATTAATAATGCATTATATCAAGAATTACAGTTAATGAGAATTATTGAGTTTTTGCTGACTAAGTAGCCATCCAATAGAAAAAAGAAAACGGGTAGTCATAAAACACATGAATAGAATAGATACAACACTCCACAAATAAACAACTTAGTTTTGGACTCAAAATTAATAAATAAATAGATAACAACCTTTCACTTTCTTTTCATGGAATATATGCTCAATAAGTTTCATAAAATTATAAAACATAAATAAATAGATAACAATGTCTGGATGCTCTTCCCTTAGCTTGTGAATAAATCTTTAATTATCTCAAGAATACTGATGTGGTAAACATCAGTCCAGGATGGTGTATTCTGTGCAAAGAGGAGGTAGAATCTCAAGGACATATTTTTCTTAAATGCACCTTTGAACTTTGTAGATAAGTTTTGGACCTAGTTACTTTCTTTCTTTGCTAAATGGCCTCCTCTCTACCACCCTTGATTAGCCATCCGTAAAAAGGTAAAGGAGATCCCGTGGTTACAATTTAATAGAACTTTCTGCAACTTTGGCTTGAGAGGAACCAAAGAACATTTAACAATGTAGAAAAGACCATTGATGGTTTCTTCGATACCATTTCTGCCTCTATTTTGATGTAAATTTTATGCTCCTTTCAACAACTATAGTTTAAATGGTTTTTGAGTCTGGAAGAATCTTTTCTAATCTTTTTTCTTAGTTAGAGGCTTGGCTTTCTTTCGCTTTTCATAATTTCATATCACTTATAAAATATTTAATGCTTCCTATCCAAAAAAAATGGCACATAAAAAAGAAAACGTATAACTACATAAGGAAAAGATTTACACCAAGAACAGCAACACAAAACCATATTTCAAGAACAGAGTGAAAGAAAGATCTTCCCCCTTGAATATACGTCTATTCCTCTCAAGCTGCAAGTACCACAATAAAACTTGCGACCATGATATTTTAAAAAACCTTTTCATTCTTTTTAAAGGGATGCCGACCAAGTATTTAATTTAACTTTAATACAAATATGAACATTAAAATATGGAATATAAATGAATGGAAAGAGATCAAAGATAATAATAAGCAGGATTGTTTGTCAAATATCTGGGGGATAATTTGCTAGCTTCGTCAAGATTAAGCTTTGCCTTTTTACAATATATCGCATTCTCTTATCCAAAAGATAATATATTGCATTATCAAACTAAATTTAGAAAGAAAAGTGGACTTACCATCTCACAGTCAAGTGCCAACATTTCATAAGGTAAAGATCCCAAAGGAGCAGGAAGTGTATGGATAAAACCTGAATCATATGAACAATTAACTTGAGGAGTTATCTGACTATGAGGGAAAAATGAGTGAAATAGAACTTTCTGAGAGAAAACAAACAATCAACTAACAACGACAAATAACCTGGTTGATTGAAAGGATAGCCATTGTCTTCCAGTTCTTTTGCAGTAAGCGTATAATATGTAACAGGGAAAGGCAACTCCTTCGGGAGTTTGATAGATATTGGTGTTTCCTTTTCAGAGCCAAATCTTTCTATAAATATTCCCATGGAGGAAAATAAATTTAAAATAATAATAATAAAGTACATTAACTCCCTACTTCTACAAGGAAATAGAAAGAATTCTAAAACATCACAAGAGGAAAATTAATTTTCAGGAGAACTATGAACTAGACCATAACTAAAGTTCGTAGATTGTTTACAAACCTTGTTCAGCTGTCGGGTCAGACTTCTTTAAGTCTACATCATTTGCACCCCTCTTTCTCTTTACCTTACACGTCAAAAGTGCATCAATTGTTTGCATTCTATCTGATACACAGCTAGCAAAATACAATAGGGAAAAAATATGAGGACTGCACTGTATGTAAACCACAGAGCCATTCTAAAGGTAAAAGGAATAAAGAATAACAGAATTCAATAAATTAATATGCACCTAAGAGCTAAAACTGCCCTTGGATTGCCACAGAATTTTTTAAATGTAGGAAGTATCTTGGACTGTGACATGTACAGAGCAGCATCCAGGCCAGGGAGATAAACCATTGCCACTTTTGGGATGAGGGGTTTATTCTGCATATATTTAACTCTGTTAAGTATTACCAGGAAATCCTAAATAGTTGGAGCAAAAGTAAGCTATCAACCATGGATTAAATGACAGAGCATAACGCAATTCAAAATAACATTTTTATACAAACCAACATTCACAGTTAAATAATAAGCATGCCTGTAAATTTTCAGGAGAAAAATGAAGGAACACCAAAATCCCACTTGTCAATCTAATTCAGACGTCAAACCACACAAGCTCGTAACAAAGAAGAAAATGCATAAGGTTCACTCCTGGTTACATCTCCAAATAAGCATATGTGATTGAAGTGAAACAAATATTTGAGGTCGTCGACCTTTAAAGGAACAAACAACACCGATATCCAGTTTCGTGTTTACAACATAATGTTCATGGTCAGGTCTTCACTGCTAACACAAAATTTCAAGTTAGAGACATCAATAACCTAATGGCTAAAAAGGTATTGACCTTAATAAAAACCCACGATGGCATAAAACCTTCAGCAAGCACCCAAGTTACAAGCCCTTGAACATCCTGCGGGGGAAAATAAACGACAATAAAAATCTAATAGCCACTTGCCTTTAACATTTGAAGAAACTTGAATAGTAAGTAAACTCACTTGCAGACTCAAAGTTGAATTAGAATCCGGAGTTTTGAACACAACCTCAGCTTTGGCCTACAGGATGAATCAATCAAATTAAGCTGACCCCTTTATTAATTTGACAACAAGAATCAAAAAGTACCCAGAAGATGAAAATGGTGAGCAAAAAGAAAAGGCAATGACTTGAAGAATTTGAAAAGGCAAATGTAGGAATGAATACATACGTCGGTTCCGTATATGTCAAAGAAGCTGGACTTCTCCTTTGTTTTACCCACATTCAACTGGGCTTCATCTTCGGAATCCAAAACTGAAGCGCTGGAAGATGGCATGCTATTTTCTCAGCAGAGAATGGGAAAGGACAAAGGCGAAAGAACGCTCTGCTCTCTTTGAACTCAAATGCCCTGCGCCTACAGCTACTGGAAAATTTCGAGTTTCTTTTGGGTCCTTTTGTGGGAGATAACGAAAGTGCCTACTTTTTACTGAAACGTGCTGCAATCGAGTATAGAACATCTCCAATGGTGTATCATTTTGGCTCTAGGGTTTTGAAATAATTAGTGATTTTCATATTTTGATTTTCAAAGTAGTCATGAATAATTTGTCATGTCTTACTGATACTATGTTTTGAGTTGAATTATTTTTAGATTTGACCTAATTCTTCATGTCGTAAATTTGTTCTTAAATAACTCATATTAAATAAATAAACTCAATTTCAATCCAATTATTAAATATTTTGGTTGGATTGATTCAAGTACGATGGTTCCTATACGAGTGAAATCAACAAATATATATATTATATATTTGCTTTTTCTTTCCCGAGGGTCGTTGCCTTATTTTGGTTATATTTCATATATATTTTTTAGCATTTTGTCATTTAGGGTATTTTAAGCAAAACGTGAGAATGGTATTAAATAGGTATTCGAACTTTTAATTTGGTGTCAAATATATTATTGTTACTGATTCCATTAGTTTAGTGCTATGTGGCAGGAAAATTTCTAGTCCTCCCGTGGTATGAATAGCTTCATATTTCTTCTATTTAACTGTTGCCACGTGTCAAGTATCTTTATTATTATAATAAATAATAAATAGATATAGTTTATGTTGGACATTTAGAAGTCATATGTATTCCACGGATATACATTCTCTCTCCTATTTATTATGATTATTTATTTATTATTTATTTATTTCTTATTTACATCTTTCATTTCTCTCATTCTTAACTTTTATTTGCTAATTTTCTCTTTCTTCATTTTGTTTCCTTTTTTCCTCTTTCATTGTTTCTTTTTTACATTTTAATTTTCTTCTTTTTTTATTGAAAACAGCAACACATTTATTAATTTATGGATAAAATTGATAAAACTGCTACAAAGTGTATCTGTTGGGCCAACTTGGAAAACAGTTGTTCCAAATACCAGAAACACGACAAAAGCAAGTCTTTCCAACAATTTTCTTATTTTAGTACTATGCATTTAAATTTATGTCTTTTTGATTGGGATATATATCTTAACCAATAAGTTATGGTAAGTTTAGATTTGATATCTTTACTTTCTTTTGTAAGTTTAGATTTGATATCTTTACTTTCTTTTGTTAATGTAAGTATTATTTCATTTTTTCTCTTTCTTCCAAACAATAAAATTTTTATTTGAGTGGTTTTATATCTTATTCTCATTGTCGTTTGTAGATTTCTAAAATAAGAAAGAAGGGTTTGTTATTTTATTTTGATATTTTCATTTTGTTTATAATTTTATTTTCAAATAGTTTAATAATTATTTTTAATTAGATTTTATTTGTTACCTATTTTGATTTGTTGTTTTTTATTTGTAACTTTCTTTCAAATAAAAACAAAAATTTTAAAAGTAGATACTTCACAATACTTAAAAAGTGATATAAAAAAACCTTAAAAAAGTAAATACAACATATTTTATTTGTTACCTATTCTATTATCCAGCTTTTTTTATATAAGTATAAATATCGAATAATAAAATATGATTAATTAATTTACATATATTAAAAAATATGTCATGAAATTATTTGAAAATTCCATTTTATTGAATTAAAAATGAAAAAAATTAAACATAACATATGTGGAGATTTATTTCTTCACTGGGGATGAATGAATTAAAATATTTTATGCATTCGAAAATAATGAAAAATGATATAAAATGATTAGAATGGAATAGATAAAAAGAAAGTAATAAAAAACAACAAAAATAAAAAATAGATTGAAAAGTCATACATAATTTAATGGTGAAATAAAAATAGTTGAAGTTCAAATATTCTACAAGAAAAATGAAAATTTTCAGTTTGAAGGAGGAAAATTAAGGAATGAAAATTGAGAATAAGAAAAGCAATTGAAGATATAAATAACAATGAAGTGAGAAATAGATTAAAAAAATAAAAATAATAATCACGGTAATAAATAGGAAAGAGAATGGCCAAAGCGAGCATAGCTCAGCAGTAATTGGTATATACTTCCAAGTGGTTGTGAGAGAGAGAAAGTAAAATACGTTGAATAAATATTGCTTCTAGATGTGTGGACCCCACATAAAATATATCTATTTTTATTTCTTATAATAATAAAGATACTTGACATGTGACAACTTTTAAATGAAAGGAGTATGGAAGTTCTCCACGAGAGGACTAGAAATTTTCCCCTATATGACATGCTTACATGGCTATAACGTATCAAATGAAACTTGCCACTTGGAATAAATTTAGTTGGGTCTAAAATTTGGACGAGTTCTAGGGCAGAAAAAGTAAGGTGACTAAAATAAATCTAACATAAAAAGTGGGAAACAAATAGAAGGGAAGAAGATAGAGGGGAAGAAACAATGATAGAGACTTATGAGACACAAAATTGAAAATTTAGAAACCTATTGGATATAATTTTAAAAGTTCAAATATCTATTAGATACAATAGCAAGTTCATGGATTAGATTTATTACCTAACTATTGTTGGGAATAACAAATATTAAAACCTGTCGTTGTCCCACATCAGAAGAATAACCTTTGGGAAGTTAGTTTATAAGCATTGACTCTGTATTGGGCTTATAAATTTGGTGTGAGGCAAGCCAAGACCAAGGCCCACACGTGTGCCGCCATCCGGCTCGGGCATGGTTTTCCTTTTGGGATAAATTTCTTCTACAAAGTCAAAGACACGTGGCAAATTTAGAGGAATTGTTGGATATGTAGATGGATGAATCTTGAATAAGAAAGTCAAGCAAACGTGTCAAGTTTAGAGATTAAAATGGCTAGTCAAAGAACACATGAGTAGCCAAAATAATTTTTATTTTTTAAAAATTCAATTCTATTTTGGGTCACCCCGTCACTATAAAAGGTTCACTCCCCTGTCATTTCATATCATCCCATTCATCTCAATCTCCACTCTATTCCTTCACTTTTCCACCTCTTTCAACTATCTTAACTGAGCACGAGATTGATTCCACTCACATTCCTACGAGTGCACGTCTGAATTGGAGATTGTGTTAACATTGGGGASCATACCGGCAATAAAATGATTTAGCATCGAGGTTGTGCCGATTTTGCTTTCAAGGCAGTGGTTCCACCCACGACACAATGTTTTTACCTTCTGGTTCCAATTTTTTCCTTTATTTTCCAACAGTTGAAAGCAAAATCTACTAATGGCTGCTATCCGATCTGGGAAGGTCCTACTGCCACTGTTTCAGTTGCTGCTGCTGTTCCCGGGATGTCTACTGCCGTCGAAGCTGACAAATTCGAGAAAGACAACAAAACGATCCGTGGGCATCTTCTTAACCATATGAACGACTTTCTCTTTGATCTCTTTGTAGTTCAAAAATCTGCAAAGGTCATTTGGGACACGTTAGAGTCTAGATATGGTGGGGATGATGCAGGCAGAAGGAAGTACGTCGTCGGTAAATGGCTTCAATTTCAAATGTCAGACGACAAACCGGTGATGGACCAGGTTCATGAGTACGAAAACCTAGTGGCAAGTGTGTTGTCTGAAGGCATGAAGATGTGTGAGATGCTTCAGGCCAATGTGTTGCTCGAGAAATTCCCTCATTCCTAGAGTGATTATCGCAACCACTTGAAATATAAGAAGAATGACCTGACTCTACAAGAGCTTATCAGTCACGTGCGCACGGAGGAAGCCAACAGGCTAAAGGATAAGCTCTCTTCTCAATCCCTAAATTCAATTAAAGCTAATTTAGTTTAATCTTCTAGTGCTTCCAAAGACAGGTTCAAGAATAAAGGGAAGACAATTGTAAGGGATAGAGCTCAAAAGAACAAAGGTCTCCAACCTAAAAATACTGGTGGAAGAATCGAGAAATCCAAACTAGTCTGCTATGTCTGTGAAAAACCCGAGCACAAATCCTATCAGTGCACTCAGAAGAAAGATAGGATAGATCAAAGAGCTACTCCACAAGCCAACCTTACAGAGACTGATGATATCATTACCACTGTGGTTGTAGAAACAAATCTAGTAGAGAACAAATCAGACTGGATTCTTGACACGGGAGCATCCAGACATTTCTGCTCGAACCGTGACCTCTTCCATGACTTCCAGGACTCTGCCGACGGTGAATGTGTTTTCATGGGAAACTCTGCCACAGTTGGAGTACTTGGGAAAGGGAAGGTTCTCTTGAAACTCACATCTGGCAAAACTTTATCATTAAGTAATGTGTTGTATGTTCCTTCCCTGCGTAGGAATCTGGTGTCAAGAGGTCTACTGAATCGAGCCGGACTTAGGATTGTGTTTAAGGCCAACAAGGTTATTATCACAAAAAATGGTGACTTTGTTGGTAAGGGCTATTTAGCAGATGGTTTTTTTGTTCTCAACACTACTTCTTCAAATGAAATTAATTCTAGTTCTGCTTACATCGTTGAGTCTCTTGATGTGTGACATGGTAGATTAGGGCTTGTAAATATTGCATCAATTAAAAGGCTGAAGACTCTAAATTTAATTAATGATTTCGATTTGCCTGAAACTACAAAGTGTCATGTCTGTGTAGAAGCAAAGTTTGCTAAAAAGCCTTTTAAACATGTCACTACAAGGTGTACTGAACTCCTAGAATTAATTAATTCTGATTTATCTAATTTCAAAAACACAACTAGCAGAGGTGGAAAAAAATACTATATTTCTTTTGTTGATGATTTTTCTCGATATACAAAAATATATCTCCTAAAATCTAAAGATGAACCTAGTAGTATGTTTTTGAAATTCAAAGCTGAAGTAGAAAACCAATTAGACAGGAAAATAAAAAGAATAAGATCAAATAGGGGTGGTGAATATAGTGATAATTCGCTTAGAGATTTTTGTGAATCAAGTGGAATTATACATGAATTTATTGCTCCATATTCACCTCAACAGAATGGAATAGCTGACGGAAAAATAGAACTTTAAAATAAATGATAAATGTCATGCTATTAAGTTTTGGTCTATCTGATGATATGTGGGGAGAAGCTGCACTTTCTGCATGTTTTATTCTTAACAGGGTCCCTCAAAAAAGGCTAGATAAGACATCATACGAGCTTTGGAAAGGGTATTCGCCAAACCTGAGCTAGTTGAAGGCATGGGAGTGCTTAGCAAAGGTGGCATATCCAGCATTCAAAAAACCTACAGTTGGATCTATTACTTTTGATTGTGTTTTCATTGGTTATGCTCAAAATTGTTTTGCATATAGGTTCATGAGTTTGAATGACAAATCATATGTGAATATAGAGATGCTGTATTTTTTGAAAATATCTTCCATATGATTAGAACTAATGGTGAATCTGGTGGGACATCAAAAACTGCATGCATATTGTTGTCTTCCACTTCTGTTGACATGATAGACTCTGAACCTAGATCTGATGATAAAATAGATTTTGAACCTAGGAGAAGTAAAAGGCAAAAGGTTAGTAAAAGTTTTGGGTCTGACTTCCTAACTTCATATCTGGTAGAAAACTTTGACAAGATAGATGATTAGTTCACTTGCATGTATTTGATAGACGAAGATCCTAAAACCTACCAAGAGGCTATAAATGCCTTAGATTCTAGCTTATGAAAAGAAGCTATTAAAATTGAACTAGACTCCATAGTTATGAATCAAACCTGGGAATTGGTAGATTTACCTGTAGAAAACAAACCTATTAAGTGTAAATGGATCTTTAAAAGAAAAATGAGACCAGATGGTACGATAGAAAAATACAAAGCTAGACTAGTAGTTGTAGGTTACACACTATGGCATTGATTACTTCGATACGTACTCTCCTGTATCCAAGATTGCTACAATTAGATCTTTGATAGCTTTGCTGCTATTCAAGGCTTAGTAATACATCAGATGTATGTAAAAACAACTTTCCTCAATGGTGATTTAGAAGAGGAGATCTACATGACACAACCTAAATATTTTTTAGCTACTGGTCAAGAAAATAAAGTTTGCAAGCTAAAAAAATCTCTCTTACCTAAAACAAGCTCCTAAATAATGGTATGAAAAATTTAATGGCACTTTGGTAAACAATGGTTATAAAGTAAATTGCTTTTTGATACATGTGTTTACTCAAAGTTGTTTGGAGCTGATTGTGTGATAATATGCCTGTATGTTGATGACATGCTCATTTTTTGTTCAAACTTAGATATCATTAACGAGACCAAGTTACTCATTTTTTCACATTTTGAAATGAAAGATTTAGGAGAGGCTGATGTAATATTTGGTGTAAAAATAAGGAAAAATGATCATGGATATTCCTTATGTCAATCACACTACATCGAGAGAATGCTGAAAAAATTTGATCACTTTAATAGTTATCTGTAAGAACACCTTATGATGCCAGCATGAGTCTTAAAAAGAATCAATGCGATAGTGTATCTCAATCCGAATATGCAAAGATTATAGGTAGTGTTAAGTTTCTAATGAATTATACTAGACCTGATATTGCATATGCGGTGAGTAAACTAAGTAGATACACTCATAATCCAAGTAAAGATCATTGGACTGCTCTATATCGATTGCTAAGGTATTTTAGGGATACAATGGATTATTGTTTGCATTTTAACGAGTTTTCTATTGTGCTAGAAGGATATTGTAATGCAAATTGGATTACAGATAATGATGAAGTGAGTTCTACCAGCGGGTATGTGTTTAGTTTTGGCGGTGGAGCTATCTCATGGAAATCAGTGAAACAAACATGTATTGCTCGCTCTACCATAGAATCTGAGTTCATAGCACTTGAACTGGCAGGTCAAGAGGTTGAAGGGTTGAGAAGTCTTTTTAGAAATGTGCCACTGTGGGGAAAGTCTGTACATGTATCCATACATTGTGACTCACAAGCTGCCATAGAGATTTCAAAAAATAGTGTATACAATGGCAAGAGACGTCACATACGTCTAAGACATGAAGCTGTGAAACAACTGTTGAAAAATGGAATTATATCTTTGGAGTATGTGAGGTCCGAGAGAAACTTAGCAGATCCTCTCACTAAAGGCCAAACAAGGAAAGTAATTCTGGAGTCCTCAAGATGTATAAGACTCAAGCCATGATCTTTTCTCACTAGCATGAATCCATAGCCCTTCTTTTGGGTGGTCCATGTATGGACTTGATGGATGTAGTGAAGCATATGTGAATCCATAGCCCTTCTTTGGGTGGTCCATGAATGGACTTGATGGATATGGTGAAACAATATGAATCTATAACCCCTTTTTTGGGTGGTCCATGCCTGGATTTGATGGATAATATTCCAAGTCTTCATAGCTCAATTTTGAGTGGTTTATCTATGATAGACTTAATGAAGCGACAAACGTGATTGTGAAGGTAAAGTCGCCTTCTATGGAAGAATAGAGTTGATGAGTCTCTTTCTAGAGCTTTCACAATGACCCAAGGTGTATGTGCATGGCCATTAAAAGCACTTGACAATTGTTGCGGAATCAAAATCGAGGATTCACACATGTTGTGGGGGTCTTAACTATAAATTTTGAAAGTTCAAGAGGTAACTCACTTTCATTACTTAGGTAGTTGCTCTATTTCACTATGCATTAATTCAAATCGAAAGATATTAATGCTTAAGTTATTTATCATTTGCTCAGTTACTCCATCATTCTTCTTACTCATTTCTTTTACTATGTTGTCATTCGTGGGGGATTGTTGGGAATGACAAATATTAAAACATGTTGTTGTCCCACACCGGAAGAATAGCCTTTGGGAATTTGGTTTATAAGCATTGACTCTGTATTGGACTTATAAATTTGGTGTAAGGCAAGCCAAGACCAAGGCCCACACGAGCGCCGCTGCCGTCGTCCGGTCGGCTCAGACATGGTTTTCCTTTTGGGACAAATTTCTTCTACAAAGTTAAAGACACGTGGCAGACTCAAAGGAATTGTTGGATATGTAGATAGATGAACGTAGAATGAGAAAGTCAAGCAAACATGTCAAGTTTAGAGATTAAAAAGAACACATGGGTGGCCAAAATAATTTTAGAATGTTTATTTTTTAAAAATTCAATTATATTTTGGGCCACCCCATCACTATAAAAGGCTCACACCCTGTCATTTCATATTATCTCATCCGTCTCAATCTTCATTCTATTCCTTCACTTTTTCACCTCTTTCGACTATCTTAACTGAACACGAGATTGATTACACTCTCATTCTGACGAGTGCACGTCTGGAGGTTGTGTTAATCTTAGGGAACATACCGGCAGTAAAACGATTTAGCACCAAGGTCATGCCAATTTTGCTTTCAAGACAGTGGTTCCGTTCACGGCACAACATTTTTACCTTCTAGTTCCAATTTTGTCCTTTATTTTCCAACAACTATTTATTTTTTATGTATTATTCCTATGTTGCAAGTTTCTGGCTGTATAATATTTAAATAGTACAGTCAACATGCCACATAAGCAACGAAGTTAGTAACAATGACCTATTTAACACAAAATTAAAATTTTATAAATTAAAACCTTGATGTGAGCTAGGTACTTCATAAAACACTCATGTTAGACTTGTACTTAAATAAATAAAGTGAACTCTTACTAAATAAAGTGAACTCTTACTTTCCTCAAATCTCATTGTATCGTTTAGATATCCAAATCCGAAAAGTATAAATGTTGACAATCTATAGCAAACCTCGAAGTATTAATGTTAACACTCTAGCAAACCTTAGCTCAAGCCATACCGGGCTTAGATCGATTTTAGATATATCCCAACAAAGAGTTCATGAATTTTCCAATGATAGGACCTATAAAGTGGCAACTCCAAGTCTACTATTAACTTGATGTTAGATTGGACTAACGATTGTTGTTTAATTGAATTAAAAAGTGATAATTTGACATGATGTAACCTAAGAAAGTAGACTAACTAGTTCAAATGAGGGAAGACATATCAAAAATCAATTTATAATGTACTGTGCTCATCTGTCCTATTGATTTAAAATGCGAATTCCACTACCCTATTCTCTTATATCACATGTTGCCACATTGTAAAAAATCATCACTAATTGGTCTTCACGTAGACATTCACAATAGACTTATTTGAAATCAAAGTTGAAAGTTGAATGGTGCGATTCAAATGAGAAACGAGCTTTATCGAAGAAAATATTTTGAATAAAAAAATGTGAGTTAAGAATTTTGAACATCTAATCTCACGAGAAAGAGTAGCAAGCAATAACTTACAACTTGTAAAGTTATAAATTATAATTCAACTTTGAAAAATGAAGTTAGAATTTAGTTAAATTATACAAAATGCCAAAAAAAATTGGTATATGTTTCAATTATGCTCCTATCATTTCAAAAGTTTCAACTCTACCATAACCTTTAAAAGTATTTCAGAAATAACCCCTCCATCAACTTTTCCTTTGAAAAGAAAATAGAAATATGACAGGGTGGTGATGAGTTTTTTATTTTTTATTTATTTTTATTTTTGATCAATAA